CTTCCCATAAACCCTTCCATTCTGTACAATCCCTCGGAGCCCTGTTAGCTGCTACATGGGATGCTGCCCAATTCATGAAGTGCTTAATAAAGCCAATTAGATCTTCAAATTTACTAGGATGAATCTTGTTTTTTTTTTTAAAGTAATAAATAAGCCCGAATATACTAAGTCAGCATAGCATCACAGGTCACCCTGTAGCAAATGAGTTTCTTGTTTCTGCAGCTGACATCAACCATGGCAGTATGGGCGGAGAAGACCTTGACAGTACTTAGCATGAGAACATTCTTGGTCTAGGATAGGATGCATTAGAAGCTTGATAAAGCTATGGTTGATTTTATGTTCAAATAATTCACAAACTAAGTAATTATAATTTTTAGGTGGACCCTTCTATTTTTTCTTCTAGAATAAAAATGTCACTTTTTTAAAAGTTAAAAAGTCATAGTAGTGGAATTTGAAAAAAGTATTATCTGCAGCATACTTGAAATCCAAGGCTACTCCTTTGGCCTTGGTAAATTACACGCCCTCCCAGCAATGTATTGTGCAAAGTCTTCCAAACCAATACGAAGCACATACGAGAGTCTCTCCTGAGGAATCAAGAAAGCATTACATTTTGTTAACCAATTGTCTGCTTATTCAAAGTAGTACTGATGTCATTTTCTTTGACTAGTTGAAGTTTTTTAAGCTTTCTCAAATCTGTGTTTCTTGGCATTTGCCAGAAGACAGCAGATGCTTACTTATTTTACATAACAGAGTTAAGAATCCAGCTTCTCAACCTTACGCATTTATAGTCTTATCAAGTTACGGTGACCTTTCAGAATAAATCCACACAATTTGTGGCTGTTTTCTTTCCACTTATCTTATTGAAAACTTGATGTTTCTCTCATGACAAAGGGCTTTAGCATTTTCCTTTGTAGTTCTGAAAATACTAATTTTCTTTATTAAGCACCGACCATACTTTGGTGGTTAATGCTATTCAAACAAATGGAGTGTACCTTGGTGATTTATTTTTCTCTTTATCAGTACTGGTCTCATTAATATTCGGTAGAAAAAATTCCTTCCTATACTGTAATACGGATTGCTAGATCATACTAGAAACCAATCTACACGTTTAGCATTTTAGGGACTGTTATATAAAGGTGAGACTGATACTAAGCAGAGGAGGAAGGAGAATAAGATTACTTCCCACTTCCTAGAAAGAGGCAGGGCTATGTGGGATCTGGATTGAGAGGAGAGAGGGAAGAAAGAGGGTGAAGGCACTACAGACCCAGGTAATCATGAGAAAGAAAACAAAAACATCAACTTCTCTGTAAGTTCTATACCCGCACTGGTGAAGGAAATAGAAGTCGGAGTTGAAATATGACTAGCGGTAAGAAAATTTAGCTCCTAAAGGTATTTTCATAGTTCCCTCAAAATCTTGACAAACTAAAATTACAATGCGATGTAAGGATAAGATATATGCTAATAACTGTCAATAATAATTATGCAGAGCTTATGATTAAGGAGACAGCTGTGGCAGAGTAGGAAGAAAACTAAACATATAGCCAGTTAATAAGATAATGTATGTAAAAGTGCTGCTGTAAACTTTGAAGGATTATGCAAACATTACCTATAATTATTTTTATTATTGATCTGTAACCAACTAGAAAACAAAAATAGAGTTTGTGTATGTGTGTGTGTTTGTCTCAGTAAGTATTCCAATCACAGCTCTTTAATTATATTATAACTTTCAAGCAGGGGCGCTTAACCCAGCATTATCGAGATTTCAGGCTGATAATTCTGTGTCTTGGGAGTCTGTCCTGTGCATTGTACGATGTTCAGCGTCATCCATGACCTTTACCCATCAGGGGCCAACAGAACTTCCTCCTCCTCCCGCCTCAATCACTGACAACCAGAAAGGTCTCTGGACATTGCCAGCCATTGCAATATTGCCCCAGGTTGAAAACCCTGTCAAAGCATAAGAAAAATCTAGAAATTATATTTATAGTTCTCCCACACAAACTGAGGACGAGACACAGTCACAATGAACTACAGCTAGATGTCTGTCACTAGGTACACAGGCTACTAAAAGTTCAAATGTAGCCAGTCAGACCTGAGCTATGTTGTAAATGCAAAATACACACTAGTTTCAAAGGCAGTATAGGAAAGAATGTAAAATATTTCAACAATTTTTATATGAGTTACATGCTAAAGTAATAATATTTTGGATATAGTGGGTTAAAATAAAATACATTAAAATTAACTTCATTTGTTACTTTTTTTAAAATGTGGCTACTAGAAAAGTTAAAATTACGTATTTGGCTCGCATTATACTTCTGTTGGACAGCGCTGAACTTGTGCAAAAAATGATGCCTCCTTCATTCCAGGTAGCTTTTGATTACAAAGAGCTCTACCCTCAGCTTTTTCTTTACATTCTCTACATTCGCCTTGGATTATCTCCAGTCTCATTGTTTCAATATTACTACTCATAAATGACTCATCTCCAAACTCTATCTCTAGTTTAGAGCTCTACCGAAACCTAGATCTATGTAGGCAACTATCAACTTAACAAACCCCACTGGGACATCCTAGAGGAACTCCAAAAAGAATCCTTCTCCAGGATTCCCCATTTTAGTAAGTGGCACTATTTACACAGACCCTCAAGCTAGAAACCTGAAAGTCATCCGTGAGTTTTCCCTTCTTCATCCCACTTGTAATCTCTCACAAAATCCTGCTTTGTTTACTTCCTAAATATTTCTTCAGTCTTCCTTTTTCTTACCCCATTGGCTTATTGTTTCTTCCTGTATCAATCCCCTCTTCCCTTTTAGACACCTGGTACACCCTGCCCGTTCCTTTTCAATGCTTATCCTACAGATAAGTATTTTTGTTCAGTGTTGTCTTCCCTATTAGAATAGTATATACATGAAGTCAGGTGCTTTCTTGTTCATTGTTTTATCTCCGGTTCACTGATGGGGAGGAAGGAAGGAAGGAAGGAAGGAAGGAAGGAAGGAAGGAAGGAAGGAAGGAAGGAAGGGCTAACTCACAAGTTGCAATTTATTAAGGAGCTGGACTATAAAAACAATGCTTCCATTGGCATATGTGGCCTAAGAAAATATCAATCCTTATGTCTAAACATCAATGCTTATATACTGACACGAATCCTAGGATTCTAGAAGTGGGAAAACATGCTTGGGAATCATGCGCCTTGTGCTCTCATCCTGAACAGATCTATCTATTGTACCTAAGCTCACATTGTAGACTTTCTATAGACCGAGTCAGGAAAGAACAGATGAAGAGTGCCTTTGAAAACCCTCCAGCCCCGCAGCAACCTGATGTCCAACATTTTTCATATTCAGTGGCATAGTCCCTGAGTATCTATAGTTTCAAAGTTATCCAGTGAAAAGCAGCTAAAATGTACGTAACGCTAAGAACAATTATGATTAACTAAATTACTTCTGAAAGGAAGTGTTTCTCTAAGAACACATTGAAGCTAAGTCTCCTCTCATTAGGGCTCTTCCATCCACCTCTCGGCCTGAGCCGGGCTTCGTTCTCCAGTCCATGACTAGTTTGAAGGGGGTCAGGATGGACTACGGAAGTGTCTTCACCTAATAAGTTATAGCTGCCACTGATTTGGAAGTTTAAAAAGTCGAGAATTTTACCTTTGTTAGTGGGATTCCAGATCTAAGAGAGAGGAAGCTGTGAAAGACCCCAGGCAATATGGTAAGTATTAGAAAAGAACACGTAGACACAACACAAAAACTCGACCTGTGTTTGCATTCGTATTTTGCTATCAGTGCTCCCATAAGTAGGAGAGTAGCAGCGTGGGGGAGGTGGGATATGGTGACCTGTGATATGGACCAGGCAGAAGCTAAAAAAAATGGCATGTCAAAGCCAGGGTTAACCTCACGTCCAAGGTCACTGTATAGGTATTTACCTTTTTTAAAATTGCCTTAAGAAGAAACTACATAAAACAATCCATTTATAGTACGAGGAAGGGAGGTGGGGTCTTGACTAAAGAAATGTTAGGAAACTTTTTTCAAGTATTTTTCTCTTCATTTTTCTTCCTTTTATAGCCCAGTAAAGAAAACGATGGCAATTACCAAGTTTACACCAACTTTGGCAGTGGAATAAAGAGGTTTAACGAAGAAGCAAAGTTTTTCTGAACTACATGCCCTGTTTCTTTCGAGAAAAGACTCAAAGAATGGTGGGTAACTTTTCAAAGCCCATATTTTTCCCTTAAAATCTGGTGACTCTTTTCCCTAACCAGGTCCAACAGTTCCACATCTCAGCAAAAACATCTGTGTTTGGTAATGAGAGCAAGGTAGCTCAGCTGTAGCAAAAGGGAGTAGTAGTCCTGGAAAAAAAATAAGAGGGCTGAATCCCAGCTGCACCACTCCGTCTTTACGTGACCTGAGGCAAGTCTTTAAGCTCCCTAAGCCACTCTTCCAAATGGGGTGATGTCTCCCCCAAGAGGACAAAGTTTGGGTTGGGGTGGGGAGTATGAGATCTTATTATTTTTATTTACAAAGTACAGACATACATATAGTACATAAATGAGATGTACAGTGTACCCGTAGTATTAAAATTTCATGAGACGGAAGATCAGGAGAAATAATGTCTAAAAAGGCTTCTGTGGGGAAAGGAGTCATAGTGAACAAAAGGCAGAGGAAAGCTTTCCTAAGCCTTCATTTCCTCATCTGTAAATATGGGTAAGCATCACCCACCTCAAGTGATTATTAGAATTATCTCTAACCATATACAGAAAGAATGAGAGACCGGAAATAAAGCAGGCAGGGAAAACCAACCAAATTATAAGACAGCTATTAAAATATAACTAAAAACACAAAGATGCAAGTGTAAATAAATTAATATCATCTAAGATCCATTGTATTGACAAGACAATTTTGATCTCACTAGTCATTTTATCAACTGAACACCTAACGACCAAAAAGAAACCATGCCATCATAGTAAAAGTCAAACAATAAATGCAAGAAGAATCTATAAATGTGGCAGATATACAAACCTAAAACACCAATTTGAAGACCTGCCAAGCTTGCTTTAATTTTATCATAAATATCTTCCGATGCAAAGTCAACAGCAATTGTTCTTGTTTCCACTTTGAATTTTTCTCCTGGAGGAAAAAACACAAATGGAGAGAAAAAGAAAAATTAATAAATGGTGATTAAGATTAAAGCATTTGATAACATTATCCCTTCAAACTCTTTTCCCCCAATTTGATATGAATTTAGAGCAGGATAACTTTAAGCAATCATGAGACCACCTAAAAGATGATATAGAGTCGACACAATATCTCTGTAATAAGAATGCCAACATTGTCACAGAGCTGGCTGAGTGTTCCTTAATCAGTCCTCCTCCTATAAATCAATAATGACCACTTCTTAGGCCCCTAGGTAGAAATAATAAAATATGATTCCTATCATAATGTTATTTACCCTTTAAATTTCACTGGTTTGGTGATTTTAATTGCTTTATAATTTCAAGAAGAAGTCTTTATGTTGTAAAATATCTGAAAATGTGAAATACTAAAACAAAAAGTCCATCTTATTAAAATGAAGACAAAATGAATACGATCGTATTGGAATTTAGGAGCTTGGTTAATAGTTAATAGTCACTATATTTTAAAAATCCACATAAAATGCATAGTAATAAAGCTACATAATAAAACTACAAAGAAAGACCTCAGTGTTCTATTTTGCACAAGACTATTAAGGTCCAGATAGGGCTCATGGAAATAACAAATTGAGAAATGAGACCCTGGAGAAACAAAATTCATCTCATTTGAGGTAATGTCTAGTGTTTACTTCTACCTTCACTAGTGAGCCCCTTTGAGAAGATGGCACAGACTGTGAGGTCACCCAAACATGGATATCAATTTCATTTCCACACTTATTTGCTAAATGACTTTGAGCGAGTCACATCTCCTCTCTGAGCCTGCCACATATCCATCCTCTACACACCTCAGCATCTCCTTGTGAAAAGGAAGGTTATATAACCCAGCTTATGGGGTGAGGCTCAAGTGCTATCTGCGGGCACAGAGGAGGCACTCCATAAATGTTACTTTCTTCTTCCTCTCCTCAACGAACCCTACTCTCACATCACCTAGAGCAGTTCGCCGGGCTAAGAAAGCTTATTCTGTCTACGGCCATGCCACCCTTAACGTGCCCAATCTCGGAAGCTAAGCAGGGTCGGGCCTGGTTAGTACCTGGATGGGAGACCACCTAGGAATACCGGGTGTTGTAGGCGTAAGGAAGGGAAGGGAGGGAGGGAGGGAGGAATTTAAAAATCCAGCTCCCCAAAATAAATTTTTCTTCGTCCGAAGTCAATGTTGGTTCATCAGAGTGTGCAGCATTAATTCACAAAGGAGGTTTCCATGCTTGATCTAAAAGGATTTATGTCTAAAACTAAAGAGCTGATTCACGAGAGATCTGATTCTTAGCCTCAAAGAAAAGTATTGATCTAGGTAGGAATCCATGAGTAAACTAGAGGAGATCATAACTGCCCTGGAAAATACCTTATCTGCTGTTAACGACATACTATTCCAATATAAGTGAGTTATTATGTGTGTTCGTGTAATGGAGAGCCAGATATCACGCTGTCATTTCACGATAGCTAGTCTAACATGTCTTAACTATAAATGGTTCACAAAATTTACCACAAGAACTCTGCCTTTTATTAGAGCCATAAATTCACGAGAAAAAAAAATCAAAGGTTGAAAGATACATTTTATTAAATGCAAAATTTTATTCAGGAATAAAATAAGCCAAATTTATCTCTTTATTTTGGGAAAAGCAAAATACATTGTCACACTAGCACCATATACCGACATTTAGGAAAATTTCTCTCTAGTAATAAAAGCCACCGCACAATCTCTGAATCGAATTTACTCTTTTAAATCTCACAGGATTTGACAATTATACTTATATTGTAGAGTCTGGTATAGATATGCTGCTAAAAAAAAAAAAACCTCAGTGATCCTTTCAGAAACAATGTTATTTAATAAGAATCCTCAAATAAGCTCTTTGTGTTCACATCAGAATAAGCAAAATGGCTTCTGAAGCAAGTTTTTGAAGATAAGTAAAAATTTTGATGACCCTGAATCAAGTTCTAGTCCAGTTAACACTACTTTTTTCTCTTACCTTCACTGCCTCTGCTGTGGGCTTTCTCCTTTTTAACATAGATCAGATCCCGTCCCTCCCCTTCTCACAAACCTCAAAGGGTTCCATCTCACTTAAAGTAAGAGCCAAAGTCTTTTGGCAACAACCTAATACTTCTCTGAACTCATCTCCACTTACTCTCCCAGTTGCTCCCAAGCTCTAGGCACAGAGGCCCTTAGCAGTTCTTTAAACACAGAATGTTCTCCAAATACACTCAAGGCTTTTGCACTTACTGTTCCCTCTGTCTGGAATGCTCTTCAGCAACCCTCGTCTCTGTCAGGTCTTTAAGCAAATGTTACTTTCTCAGAGAAGCCTTCCTTGACCACCCTTTAAAAAATGCAACCAGTCCTCCCCTAGCACTGCGTGTCCCCTTTCCCTGCTATTTCATCCTGTCACGTTCGCCCCCTTGTAATACACTGTGTATTTTAATAATGCATGTTTGTTGTTACCTGATCCCACTAGAATTAAGCTTAGTAAAGACAAGGAATTGGGTCTTTTTGTTCAGTTGCTCAAGAATGTCACAAAGGACCCAGGGTGTTTCCACCTTCTTCTCTTATTCACTTAGGCTGGCCCCCTTTCTGGTTTCAAGAGGGCCACTGCCATTTCGAATATCCCATGCAGACAGCAAAGGTCAGAGGTAGAAATGGGAAGTCCCTATTATATGTCCCTTGTATATATGTCCCAGGAGACGCATCTCTCTGGGCCCAGGCAATCAAGAGAATTATGACGGGTATTCTCAAAGGCTGAGGTGGGAGGTAGCTACTTTGCTAGGACCCAGGGAAATAAATGTAGGCATTTTCCCCCTTCCTACTGCTTATCAGCCCTGATCTGACCCTGCCGACAGAAGCCAACCCAGATGAACAAGAATCCTCTAATTTTAGACATCAGCACAAAGATGTACTAAGGACCCGGAACTGAAGTGAGCACCATAGACACATAATATAACACAGTACCATATACACATAATTTCCACCTTCACCACCTCCCACACCTAAGGCTCTTCATAAGACCGCCAGTCCACAACTCAGCACCAGCCCACTGCTGGGGAGGAGGAAGTTCACCAAAGCCTTTGGAGAGGTACAGTACTCAGAACCTTGGCCACAACAAAGGCCGAAAGGATGACAGCCTCCGTCGAGTCTTTCTGCCAGAGTAGGAGCTGTGATAAGTTAAAATCAATACCCTACAAGTACATAGGATAAAGCTATATAAACGAGTGAATCTGAAGCTTGCAATTGGAAGAGGAGAGCCATCCATTTGTCACTTTAAAGATTTCTGGCTGCCCCAGTTCCCGGGGTATCAACAGCAAAAAGCTGTCAGGTGTCAGCCCCTTCAGGGAGTGCCTCAGCTTCAGAGTCGCCTGAACCAAGATCATACCCTTCCCATGACATCCACATCCGACGATCAAGCGGGGAATATAAAGCCATTGGACAGCTTGTACCTACCAGGTTCTGATTCCCAAATTACAGTCTGTTTATTAAACTATTTTTCTATTCTTTCATAATGCCCTCGTTTTAATTATTCCAGCTTTAAGATAAGTTTTACTATTTTTCATAGTGCAAGGCTCCTTTATTATTCCTTTTCAAAAGTGTATTGGTTATCCTTACTTGTCTAGTCTCAGTTTTTATTAGGGCTGCATTAAACATTTCAATTAAATTTATGAAGAAAGAAAATGTGACATTCCCTCCAGGCTCTCCATTTATTCAATGTCTCACTGTAAAAATCTTGTGGTTGTAAATTCTCATAGAGATTAAAGAACTAAGGAATTCCATTATTAGATTATATACCATTATGTAAAGATAATACTGTTGCTTATTCTTACTGATTTAAATCATTCAGTGTTTGAAATTGGATGGGCTGGTATCTTGCGACTTACAGTTGGCCAAATACAATCGTGCCCCCCTCCCATTTTTCAGATTGAAATGAGTCTGAGATGGTCTTGACCCGCTGTCTGTCAGCCTTGTGGCTAAGACCAAAATACTGTGATGATTGCTATGAGCTGTTCAAGGCAGTCAACTCACTAGAAATGGAAGCAGAAAATCAACTCTGGCTTAAACAGTAGGGAATGAGGCTAAGAAATAGCTGGGCTGATGATAACCATTCATTCCCCTTTATCTACTATTCCACTGAAAACCACATAACCACAATTGTGGAATAACAGCAAGCACATACTACTCATAACCGTAGAGCTCTACATGGGAGTACAAGGCTCTATGTGCAGTGCAAGGGAGTGCAAGCTATATAATGAATATCTTGCCTGTCTCAAGCCATTCCATCACCTCCAGGCATGGGTGCCCCACTCCTACAGTCACACTTTTGGTTTTTACTCAGAAGTTCCTGAATTAGTTCAAGATCAGGTCTGGAACTGAGAGAAAAGGAACTGTACCCATAAGTATTCTCAAGATGCTGCTAAAACACCTCTCAGTATGAAAACTAATAATACATTTTTAGGTTCAAACCTAGAAATGCCAGGAATATATTCAGAGTAGCCTCATGTTTAACACACTTTTAAGTCTGGCCATCATTATTTTCATTTTGCTCAACAAACTGACATCTCAGTTTTCCTCTAAGAATAATTTTAGAGATCATGGAAAGAATTTCTTCATTCCCTCCCCTTCCCCACCTCCTAGATGTCTGGAAATACTAGGTCTGAGAATGCTAGAAAATAGGTCTAATCTACATAAACTCGTGCATTATTTAGAATTTTCTATTAATAAAAGCCAACAATAATACATTGATTCTCCTTTGTCCCTACATCTGCTCCAAATAAACAATCTGTTTCTCTCCCTAAGTTTCAGGTACTAACCACTATGAAACTCCTGTTACATCACCCTTCCCCATCTTTTCCTAAATTAGAACTTTTATCATTTAAGATTCAAATTGTGTCACCATCTCTGTGGACTGACTTTTCGTGATTCTCATTTCCCCAAGGGAAACTTCTTACTCCCTCAGCTATGTT